ATTAAATTTTAAAAAATAAAATATTAAAATTCACTTATATATAGAAGATATATCTAGACATTAATAAAATTTCAGTCTCCTTTCAATATTTGGTCCTTAATTCATTTGGGGCCTTAATGACAAAAAAATTTTAATAAGTAGTATTAAAGATAAGTTCTATTGATTTATTGATTTGAAATTTAGAAAAATAATAAAATGGTATTAAGTATGAATTTAAATTAAAAATTTAATACAATAAAGTTTAAATTTCGTATAAATAATTTAATCTAAAAGAATTTTTTATGTAAGTTTCAAAATAAATGTAAATAAGATTCTGACATTTGATTTTTCTAGTTGTTCTGCATTCAGATGTCTCCAAAATTTTTTAGTTTGTTCAGGAATGTGAATTTGAATAGAGTGTATTTGAATTTAGAGTCTCAAATTTAAATATATTGTTTGTTTCTATAAAATAAAAGTGCATTTAAATATGATTGAAATATATATTTTAAATTATATATTTTAAAATATAAAATACATGTATTTTAAATTCGTTTCCTATCCATGAATTTCAATTCTAAAATTTTGAATTTCATTTATGATCATCAGCGTTTTTTATCAAGCCTTTCATCTGCTGTCGGGTAAATTTCAATTGAGGCCCCTTTCTCTATTTTAGCAATCTTCTCTAATTAACGTTAGTGGCGGACAAGGAAGGAATTTTTAAGAGAATAGAATTTGGTTTTGGAGAGTATATTCTTGAGTTTGTGGTTGGTTGCAGGCTATGAATTGAGGCAAGATTTATCTTTTTAAGTTTTATATATATATATATATATACACGGTAAAGTGGTTATCAGTCCTACCTCCCAACAAAATTTGGAGTCCCAACAAAAAACGACGTCGTTCTCTTAAACCCAGCCCCTCCCCTTTGCCTTTCCCTCTTTTGCCTTTGCCTCTTCTGCAATCATCTCCATTACCCCGCCAAAGTCTTCTTCCTCACCCTGACTCTGGGCCTTTTCTCTCTCATCTCCCGAGCCTTCATTTCAGCCAGCAGCCATCAAAGGCGGTCAAGCCCTGCTGCGCCCCCTCGCTTGCTGCACCTGAGCCTGCGCCTTGCTGCACTCGAGCCTGCGCCTTGCTGCACCTGGGGCTGCGCCCTGTTACACCCGAGGCTGCGCCTTGCTACACCTGGGGCTGCACCCTGCTGCGCCTCCTGCACTCTGCGCCTCCTGCACTCTGCGCCCCCAATCCTATGCCTCTGCACTCCTGCTTGCTACAGCACTGTCCTTGCCTCACCTAAAAAAAAAAACAGCCCATACCAGACAAAATCGGCATCATCTTCATCCTCTACTTTTGCTGCAAAGATCAGTGATTGATGGAAGAAGTTTTTATTTTATTTTATTTTATTTTTATTTTATTTTTTTATTTGGGTATATATATAGGAAAAAATCAGATCAAAGAGGGGGTCTTTGGT